TCTCTCTCTCTCTCTCTCTCTCTCTCTCTCTCTCTCTCTCTCTCTCAGCACAGAAGTGAGGTTTGTTTCTGTGCTCCAGCAGAGAGAGAGTCTGCACACAATGCAAACTGCGGAATAGTCAAACACAAGCTGAAACACAGCTTCCTGTCTCAAAAGGTGTTGCCTCTCCTTATTGGAAGTGGAAGTTTTTTTTAAAACACACACAAGGTAGAAACAAATGTTTGATAGAACATGTCATGGATCTGAGAAACTCTCCCAAATATTGGATCCCGTGTATTTATTAACCTCAGAGGGAAGAAGCTGTATCTCTACTGCAACTTCCCCAAATAGATGACGAATCTTCTCTGGAGAAGGGATTGATCCTGGTTCAAAGATCTGATCCATCAATAAGTAACTCGTGTACTATTTAAACATTTTAACTAAGCGGAACATGGGGTAGTTCCCCTGCTTTGAATAAGCTGCTGAGAGCGTTTCCTGATCTTGCTGTGTGAGTATTCGTCCGCTATCTTTCTCAACGTGCGCTGCTTTTACTGCAGGAATTTGCACTTCTGAAGCGCGAACGCAGCAGATCCGTAAATTCTCGTCGAGTGCAAATCGTGAAGATTGTGTACTTGTGAAGAAGAGACACTTTGGGTGCTGTAATAACCTCAAATGGGATTAAAAAGAAAAAAAAAAGAAAAAAGCATAACAAGTGCCCTTTACGCTGCACAGAACAAACGCAAAATCAATCCTACGGCGGTCGAAGAGACCGAGAGGAGCACCAGCGATAACCCGGCTGATGCACTGGAGATCAATATTGGCCTTTTTTTTATTATTAGCACTGCTGTCTCGTGTTTTATTCTCTTCATCTGTCAAACCCTTCATCTAATAGCTTTTGACTGAACACTCTAATCTCTGCAAGCAGAGGAGACAAGACATGTTTAGCAAGTGCCCCTAATTTGGCTGTAGTGAAAGAAGAAGTTTAGCTGGTTCTCTACTTTCTCAAATGACAGACTTCATATAGCAAAAACAACGCAGATTAAAGATAGCGGGATGAATGGAATCTAAAGGATGCCAAATCACACTAAAATGATCAAAACCTTAAAGTCTTACCGAAATATTCACCGCAGACTGGCTGAGCCTTGAGTTCAAAAGCGCTTTGATTATACTGGCTTTCATGCAGGGCTGGGAATTGACACCTAAACCCCATAAAACTGCATTTATCTAATAATATTTGCAAAGTTCATATCAGCAGCTGACACGTATCAGCCCACGGAGGCATCCCTCAACCACAGCCTTGATGACTGCTGCATGGCCTCTGTGAGCTCCAGAAGCGTTTCCTCTTTTCTTAGACGAAACTTTAGGCTGAGTCATGTGAAAACAAAGCAGAGCCTAACGCCGTCCATGGCGGGGGTTTACAAATTGAATGTGTATTGAATATGCAAAAGTGGTATTTAGTTGTTTGGACCACAAGCGGGCACCACCAAACATAGAAATTCAATTCTGTGAAAGCCTCGTCACGGCGAGCGCAGCAGGAACTCCATGGGGGAAATAATTACATTCGGCTCCTCTGTTTTTGCTCTGGTCCAGATCAATGGAAGAAACAAAATGCTTTTCATAACAGAATCCTGCTTGACATTTAACAATTGTTCTTTGGTAGTCACATCAGTACACACACACACACTTCCTCTAGACTGGGCCTAACTCCCCCGAGGTGTGTGTGTCTCAGATGGACAGCAGGGCGTCCAGCAGGGCGTGCAGCTCCACTATTTGCTCACCGATGGCGGCGATGTGGATCTCGCTTGTCGAAGCCTAAGTGAGTGTGAAATGTGTGTAGTCTGCCTAACGACATCTTTGACAGCCCTGTGATGAAACCGTACTTCCACAGCAGTCAAGACGGAGCGGGATTATCCGCAGCATCACCGTGTTCTCCATCAGTCCAGACACGTCAGGACCAGTTAACGAGTGCAAAAAAAATGACAGCCAGCTGTTCAGCTCTGGTCATGCAAATGACTTTCTGCTAAGTCATTTCACCACGCGGTGCTGTGACTCAAAGCCTACATCAAGGATTGAACAGGCCTGCTGAGGTTAAAGAAAATGATTTGAATAGTTTTACTTAAATGCGTCTTAAAAGCAACTGAAATGCACTTAAAAAGGGATAGTTTGATACCGCCCCCAACATCTGTACGTCCAGTAAGAAGCCAGGAGATGGTTATCCAGACCTGCTGGAACCAAACGCCACCCAAAGCAGAGAGGGCTGCTCCGGGGAGGGGAGGGAGGAGGGCCCCGAGATACAAGCTAAGCTAACCCAGCAAGGACCTGAGGCTATACTCCAGCCTGTACTCCCAGCTGTCTGTGGTTCACAGAGACCCGGCTCCATCGTGGCGTCCCGGATCGAGCTGCACTTGACGGCAGGACGGAGCGCAGGACTCCAGTGGGGCGAGAGGAGGTGGACTCTGTGCTCACATGTTAAGATGTCGCTCAGAAGAATTGTTTTTGTTGCTGCCGTTTAAATTCCTCCCGATGCAAACTCAGAAATGTCCTACAGCAATGCAGTAAAGTTTTCTTGTTTTTCCTTGTGTCGCAAATGGGCTACAACTGCATTCCGTTGGGCATTCCTGTGTTGCATAACGACAATAGATGATCCCTGAATCATGAGCATAAAGAACAACACGACATGGCGGGCGGTCACCTGACCTGCTATCAGGTAGGGACGCGCTGATCCAACTCTTTCAGTGGCAACGATACTAATACCTATACCTGGGCTTTGGTTATTAAAAGAATAAATCATACACCAGGTACTATAGGGTGCCTCCCTATAGTAACATCTCTGAGGCTGTTTGGGGAAACGTTTGGACAGCTTGAGTGTGATCCTTTCAATTAAGGGCTGTGTGAACAAAAAGGATTTTACTCTCCGTGGACTTGAACTGGTGCATTTTTGTGAAAGTCCCCTTTTGCTCCTCACTCATCCCCCCCTTTTTTTTTTTTAAGTGCAACAGCTGCGCATACCCAGCCTCGGCTCCATCCAAATACCGGCATTGACAGCACGCTATGAATACGCTGAAGTTAAAACTGTCACAAAGCATTCGCCGTGCTGCTGTCCTCTTATATTTGCCGGCACACAGTCGACTGCTTAGAGAGTAACAGAGATTTAGTCATACACGGACATCCAGCTGCGTGTCTTTGACATGCGCGTGTGTTGTAAGCTGCAAAAAGGCTGCCGGCAATACAAGAAATGTCTTTTTTTTTGTAGCATCATTCGGTTCATTTTGCCTCCATGCTGGACTTAAACCCATGTGAGGGGTATTTCAAGAACACTCACTTTGGGCCCGGGTACGGATTTAGGATTCAAAACTCGACTGCTTGCCAGTTTTCGGCAGAGCGGTGGTTAATTGTTTTCACCATGCTCCTATGGAGACGTCGGGAAATACCGAGTTCATTAATGTTTAGCGCGAAACACAAGGAAGTGAAGCGAAAGGCAGAGGGAAGCTAAAAACAAAGTGCAAATTGTGTTTGCTGAAGCGAATGTCAACTTCTGTGACAGCCGGTTTGCTGCAGGCTGGATGGATGGCCTGCAAACAGCGCCTGTGCAACAACTGAACGAATCAGCACAGGCTGGGGGGGGTCTGTTGGCAGCATTTGGCTCTATGTGTGGGTGTGTGGGTGGGTGGGAGAGTGTTGGGGGTAAAAGAGAGAACCCGAAGGATAATTGACAGTGTGAAAAATGTGTTTATTTATTCGGCAGGTCAGCAGAGAGGAAATTCTGATTTACAGTTATAGAGAAGGATGTTTGTAGACTAGAGAGTGTGTGTGTGTGTGTGTGTGTGTGTGTGTGTGTCTCTGCCTCACCAAACATCACATATGCACATGTACAGTAGCCTATGTGTGTTTGTTCATGCATGATCTAAAAAGGAAGGAGAGGCCATGTACTTGTCAGTGTCAGTGAGGATGAGGCATGTTTGAGGTTACCCAGAGGGCTTAGCAGCATCCACACACATGACCATCCACACACTATATGGTGCTGTGTGTGTGTGTGTGTGTGTGTGTGTGTGTGTGCACTTTCAACCAGTAAATCTTTCAACACTGGGGAAGTTGACAGGCGTCTCAAAAACAAGCACAGGTGTATCTCGCTCGTTGTAAAAAAATGTTGGGGAGCCTTAAAAATAACACATGAAGAAGAAGGCCAAACCATAACAGACTTCCAGCATGAATACAGACCACGTTCTTATCATACATATATTAATATAGACACAATGTACAAGGAGGCACACAGGAGAACCTCACTAATCCTAGTATAAGTCCATTCATTTCAATAGGAATATAAAGGTTTGTGGTTAGATAGCACCATTATACAGTCATATGTTATAAACAATAAATTCTTAAAACATAAAATCCTAACGCAGCAGGAGATTGACAAACAGACAGGAGGCTACACACTACCAGCTTATTTTAAACAAGACCAAATGAAGAACGCAGAGGAGAGACAGCTGCTCCCAAAATATTCAAGTGTCACCCGCAGCATCAGCATCCGCGCGCTGTTTAACATGAACAGGACACACACACACACGCAACAATGTTTTGGTTTTTGAAGGCAACAAGTCTCTGTTCCAGCTCGACAGTCACCGCTATACTCACGTTCGGCTTCACTGCGAGCGTTCCGCAGTCACCACTACAGTGTACTCTCTGTCGGTGAAGTTTCTCCACACACACACACACACATATACATATACATATATATATATATACACACATTGCAGCAGTGATGTGAAACACAAGCAACCACAAGAACACAACTTTTACGCAGGAGGTGTGGAGACATGAAACGAGCGCTTACCAGAGAAAAAGAGGGCTATCCAAAAATAAAAAAATCTGCGTTCAGCGGCTGGTTGAGCAGAAAGTGTGGTTGGATTTGTTTAGTGCGCGTGTATCCTTCGTCTAAAGCTTCCGGTGCAACATTAAAGAGATTGATGGTGTCTGAAGAAGATGCACACCAGACATGCAGCGTCGCGACTCGTTCTTCACCCTGCGCACATTTCTGGACGTGAGAGACACACGGGGCTGTTCATTTCAGTCTGCCCCGCTCTGCGAGCTCCGCCAGGCAGCAGGACGCTGGTGGTGGGAGGAGGAGGAGTGCTCGAGAGAGAGAGAGAGAGAGAGAGAGAGCGCTGCCGCGGCGCGAGGCTTTGTGGGAAATGTAGTTCCCGGGTGCTGAAGCTCAAAGGGCTCCCATACTGGCTACTGGTAGATGTGCTGCTAAACTGTTTTTGAATTAAATGTCATTATAAACAAAACATAATGACGATAAACTTTATGTTGAATTTATATAGCCTATAAAATACAAAATACTAATGAAGAAATATTAAATACAGAAGGTTGAATAGACCACTATATAATGCATAAAAAAAACAAAAACACTGCTTCTAAAGCCTCTTGAGGCTGATTGGATTTGTGATTTGGGGCTACAGTATATAAAGAAAATGGACTTGACTATGTCCTAACAAACTTCTTAATTTTTCATGTCGGCTAACCACCAAAGGATCATATATAACTTCCTCAAAATTCAATGAAAAATCTTTGCTAATGCTCACAACTTTTCCCCGCTAAAGTGCTAACCTGAACATATTGCCTTGAGAAATATTTTGTTTTTTTATGATTTATGATCAACATGCTTAGTTATATTTCAGAGCAGAAAGAATCATAAAAAGAGTGAGAATTATAGTCGGTGATACTGTGAATTTGTGTTCATCACACTGCTGGGGTCATACTGTGACATCTGGGAGCTCCTTAGGGACACAGAACTTGAATAGTGACTGTTGTAATGAATACAATACTACCAAAGTGCTACTTCCTTGTTCATTATTAGTCTCGAGGGTGAACTACCTTTTTACCAACAGTAAATGCACTGGTATTTCCCCCCCCAAAAAACCTGGGTGTTCTCACACACATTGTCACAATATTTCCCAATTCATTCTCTCAGAAGCAGCTCATGTTACCTAAAGTGTGAATAGAAGATGGTATGTGAACTCTTAAACTGGGCTGTGACATATTGAAACATGTTATCCAACATCAAAACAACAATAGTACACCAAGAAGTAGAGGCAACAATAACAGAGTCCAGCAGCATTAATAGTTTAAAAAAAGAACAAAAAGCAGAACATCCTAAACACCAGTGCCTCCTTTTATCATTTCACAATGAAAATTACATTTCATGAGTTATTATTGTGCTCAGGCAGAGGACATGATAAATGAAATCCTGCACCAACACAATACCTCCTTTCTTTTAGGTCACACATCCTCTTGAGCATTCATTGTTTCTGAGCGCTCTCTCCCCCACTTTCTTATTGCCAGACTTACAGTACAACTACTTAATAAGTGTCTGTGTGTGTGTGTGTGTGTGTGTGTGTGTGTGTGTGTGTGTGTGTGTATGGGTGTGGGGAGTGTATAGGAAATGCTTCTGCCTCTTTGTAGCCGTATGTCTAAATTTAGAGCCCAGTGCCTCCACCGTCCAACTGTCACAGGCTGCGTCGGACTGTCGGCCGCTCAGGAAAGAGACTTGAGGCGTGTTGAAGTTAGTATGAATTGCAGAAGCTCGGGTGGGCTGATCTGAGAATAACACATTTGTTCGACATACGCCCTGAAAACAGGGCGGTTATAAATACACAGCGGCTATACTGAACAGAGGCAAAGGAAGCGCAAATGCAACGCAAATGGTTTTTTAGAAAACGGGCAGCTGAGGTGATATGCAGTGTTTTTTTTTTCCACATTTCTGAAAAAATAAGTCCAAAAAATATTTGAGCACTGACAATTACCAGTTGTTATATATATTTACTGATTTTTTAGTTTTTTTGATGCAAACAAAATGTGGCCAAGAGATGAACACACACTATTTGGCAACTTTCCCTTGCAAAAAAACAAGAGTTGTTGTTTTGATGTCATGCAGCAAACTGCCCCATTACACACACACACACACACACACACACACACACTTATTTCACAGAAGCAATTTATGCCATGATTAAATTTAATCATGGCATAAAGTGCTAACGCAATCAAAATTTAAATGCATTTCCATTTCTGACATGTTTTTATATCCTGACAGGTTTTTTACCTTTTTTTCATCTGCTGAGTGCAGGGAAGACCAGTTCCCATCCTCCCATGTCTATTTGATTAGGAGATGTGTCAGTTTGATTGTCGATTTGGAGCAGCACCTCCTTTATTGACTTAGTGCAGTCACAGACCCCCCTGTCCTCTCCTAACATAATTCTGCACTGTGACATCCTTTGTCAGTTGATTACAGGACGGTGCCACAGTCGGTTTCCCTGTGAGTTTGCAAATTAGCTTTGTCATGTTGTTGTGAACAAGATGGTGCTGTTTACATACTGTTGATCTTTATAAAGGCTGTTAATATCACTTCTAGTGATGTTATTTAACCATTAATGTGGCCTTGAATAGACACCTGTCATTATATGAGAGAGCAGGAATGGGGTTGTACGTCATTGATAGTGGTCTGATGCTCAGCGACCAACACACCGGGTCCCAGCATGTTATATATACATTTACACATAAGGTGTGCAGCATTGCCAACCATAAATTGCATGCCTCATACATATTAATGCTCCAACTATCAAAGAGCAAATACAAGATGCAAATCAAATGTTGTCACTATAATGAAGAACTATGAAGGTTGAAATATAAATCACTGAAAAACCAAGTAGCAGAGAATGAAAAACATGATGAACAGGCATAAAATATATAATTTATATCATCACACATTCCGACATTTATTAGGCCTCCATGGTTCTAATACAATCAACTGTTTCCCTCCCAGTCTACTGCGTCACACTGTACAGTTATTTATCATCTGGCGCCCTCTAGTGGCCCGCGTGAGAAGCGCCGGTCTCTGCCGAGGTTAGAGTTCACAGCAGAAAACATGGCGGCTCCCAGCAAAGCGACCGTGGTTCTGAAGGCTGTGAAGAATATAGCGGTCCAGTTTTGTCCGTTTGAGTCTAATGTCCGGTCCACGCGGTAAGAAGTGTGTGTGAAAGTCTCGCTGTGTATGGGGAGTCCTTTTTGTGTCAATGGACTGTGTAAAAGAGTATTTTTAACAATGAGGTGACCGTCTGCGACATTGTTTCCAAAATAGTTAGCCAATTCAGTTTTTAGGTTGTTTATTTACGTTGGCTAACAACTTGTAATCATGATTAGTTAATTAATTACAGCTGTGTTTGCTCTGCAGTGACACGTCAAACTGTCCGGCCCGTTAGGATGCTTGTGTTAACCCTTTGAGCTGTGCTATGTAGGAATCAATAGAGATAACGAAACTTCATCAACCAGTAGGAGGAATATACCTGTAACCTCTCCCACCCATAGGGTGCAACAAAATGTAAAGGACAAGCACAGTGTGGACACTTCCACACAGTCCTCACATGAGGTCTAATCAAGCATAATAAGTTGAAACACCTGGGTTGGTGAATAATGTTAAATGATTGTGTCTGCTGTCTGTATTGCAGTAGGGGGAGAATAAGGTAGTCAAGTAAATGTAGCAATACCAAATGGTAAAATACTTGTAAAAAATACGTCCAGTGCACAGTAGCAAAAAAATGGAAATATTCATGCGGTAATGTAATCGGTGTGTAACTCGCTCCTCTTGCCTTACAGGGAGTTTCTGGCCATGGTGGGCTCAGAGAGGGCCAGGTCTACCAACATGAACTGTGAGGTGATATCGGTGGTGAGACACGACCAGTCTGCGCCCGTGGTGGACATCACTTTCTGTAAGTATCGCCTGACCACATTCAAATGTGTGGGAGAAGGTATCTCAGCGTGGGACTTTATGAAGCAGTGTGATTGTGGCCGGGGTTTTGCATTTGCAGTTCAGGTTAAACCACTGAAGATATGTCGAGTCACAAACTGTCGTACAGACGTTTAAAAAAAATAAATGTTATATCCCCATGAAGCCGATTTATGTTGTTTGTGAGTTTTTATCTCTGAATTTCCCCGATCATGTTTATGTAGTAAAGAAATTACAAAAGGCCGAGTAATTATCAAAGAGAAGATTTAGAATTTTGCATCTGTAAAACCTCAAGCAGACGATACTAAAGAAATGTTTTAACATTGACACACTTTTTGGCTGAGACAGTTAAAGAGAGATGGACAACGAAAAACTAAAGGCATCATAATGCATCTCAACACCTAAATTACATTTTGTCATATTAACGTCCTCAGAATTGCTATTTTTCATCTTTTAATTTCGACTATCTAGAAAGAAACTACAGAGACTTTATCTATCCTAAGAAAGTCACTTGTGCCAGTGCTTGAAGAAAACATTTGACCTGTTTTATGTTATAATTGCTGTAGGTCCAGATGGGCTCTGTCTTTAAAAACAGTCCTTTAAGAGTGCTCGTGGGTTGTTGCTTGTCGTGGAGTTTCCTGCTGACGGTGTTACTGCATGATTACTCGCACACAAGGAGGCAAGTGCTTGTCAAAAGTTGAGATGTCTGTCACAGGTCAGCGGAACATCGTACGGATGATGCCCGTTGTGTATTACTCGACTTCTGCTCAGAGTTAACCTTTGACCTTTCCGCTTGTTGCGCTCCTCATACAGAGACGAGTCGTCTCCTCGTGTCTTTGTGTTTCTCTGCTACAGTAGACGGAGACAAGCTGGTGTTGAAGGGAGCGAAGCTGACCAGCAGGGAGATGCTGAACGCGTTTCAGTCACTGTGCACGGCCAAGGACCTGCAGGCAAAAATTGCAGCAAAGAAATAAAGATCCTGGTGTGGAATGAATCTGTATGTAGCTGTGTATATTCTGGGATTTTTATTATTAAAGTATTTCATTTAAATGTGGTTTCACTGAAGCTTTCCTGCATTGATTGTGCTGTGAAATAAAGATGATACTGAGTTTGCTCCTCTTCCTCAAACTCCTCCACCAGCGAAGGATCAAATCCTACCAGATGTTCATCGCTATCAACATGAACTTCACTGTCGAATTGAAAAAGTACGGCACCCTCTCGTTCAGGGGAAACCATTAGCCCCATCAGCTATGCTTATCTTCTTCATATTAAAGACTTCAATTGAAATGCTCTAGCTGCTAAAAAAACATGCTGTGATCAGTACAGTCACGGTGTGACCTTGCATAATGTGGCATTTTCCTGATAAAAGAGATCCTTCCAGCGTTTCAGAGAACATTATGCAAGCTCCGACCTTTGACACAGCAGGCTTAAATGTAATTTGGCACAGCTTTAGATGCAGCCCCAACTGTCACCCAGGCACAGATAACTGAAATCCTCTCCCCTCTGCTAGCTACTCTCTGTCCCATTAGCATCTGTAACTTTATGGGGTTTTCTTCATGGATGGATTATTATTAGTCACATAGGAAATGTATTTTCACCAGTTCCTAATAGTTTACCGATAAATAACTGTTCTTATATGCTGGCAAATATGATTAGTACCACCTCCTAATGCGTCACCCTTTGTAAAATGTAACTAATGGCTTAATTAACAGGCTAAATAATGTATTGATGCGTTATAGATAGTTATAAATGTAACTAATCTATCATTAAATGATGAGGTTATTTTTATTTATGACAAACCAGTCTGTTTTTAATATTCATTTACAATAAATAAGTGAATAAAGATTTTTAATTTCCAAGTCTACTGTTAAAAATAATAAATCGTTAAATAGATTTTGCTATTGGCAGCCGATATGTACAAATATATGGTTGAACAACCGGGCCAACCAACATGTGTTTTTCATCTTATAATTGATCTTTAAAGCATTGGTAAGTTATTCATTTCTTAATATTAAAGGTATTAGTAACCATTCATAATCCCAGGGGAGGAATACATAATTGGCAACAGTCCACCACTACATCTCCCATGAGGCTTTGACAGTGTGCCACCTGCTTTAGACTCATGGAATGTGTTGTTTCTGCATGCTAACAGAATAACCGTTGTTTCCATTGGTAAAAATTACAATATGAGATATTAAAAATGCCCATTTAATCTCAGAATATAAACAAAACACCCATGACGTTTCGGATTTTGTTGTTTATAAGGAAACACATTTAGTGACACAAGCTAGTAGCACGAGGGACGAGAGGCGGGACGCTGAATTATGTGACGTCGCAGGCTGTGATTGGTTCTTACAGCGTCCCTGGACGTTGGGCTGGCCCTTTAAAAACGGGTCTGTTCCCACACTGGAAGAACATTGAACCCAGAGTCACTCCGCTGCTTGTTACCAGGGATATCTCATCAGACACTGCAAACATGGTTGAGAAATTTGTTGGGACGTGGAAGATGGTTTCCAGCGAGAACTTTGATGACTACATGAAAGCAATTGGTAGGAGTGGGTGTAAAGCTACTGTCAGTTGTTGCTTAATTGTGAATTTAATTATGCTTACTTGACTATTGATTTCATGTCATATTGCTCAATTTGTGCAGTGTCTGTACATATGTATAATATTATTTTTTTCTGTCAACACCTTCACTGTGTTTTATATTTGATGCATTTCTATGATCTTGCTGTGCAGGTGTGGGCTTTGCGACCCGGCAGGTGGGGAATCGGACCAAGCCCAATTTGATAGTGACCGTGGACGATGACGGGATTGTATGCCTGAAGTCTCAGAGCACCTTCAAAACTACTGAAATCAAGTTCAAGCTCAACGAGCCATTTGAGGAGACGACCGCAGACGATAGGAAGACGAGGGTTAGTGCGGTCTGAGAGAGAATAACCACCGCAGAGTGTGTGTGCGTGTGTGTGCGTGTGTGTGTGTGTGTGTGTGTGTGCGCGCTGGAGGTAACGGCTTGTCTCTGTTGTGTGCCCTCCAGACCGTGGTGACTCTGGAGAACGGCAAACTTGTGCAGAAACAGAGCTGGGACGGCAAAGAGACGAACATCGAGAGGGAGATCACGGATGGGAAGTTGATAGCGGTAAGGATGAACTTTTCTGGGAAATTAAACCAGCCAATTTGGTAGTAATTTAGCAACTCGCTTTTATAACTTTTTTAATGTGTCCAATAAGTAATGTAAAAGTGCTTCATCACTCATAAGCATCCTTGCATTTCTTTTTTTTACCACTTAAATAAATTCACAGGCTCTTTGCATGTTTTGATTCGTTAATAAAAAGGCTTTCAATGCAGATTAAATATGTTCACTACCACTTATTCCCACCACTCCTCTGCCCACATTCCACATTCCACGAGAGAATAAAAGCGAACTTGTATCTTAGGGTAAAAATAATTTGCTTAAAATGTCATTCTACTACAAGAAATCCTAATGTAACAGTGGGAAGTAATGCAATTAAATACTATAATGACAAAATAAATCAAAGTATTTCCTTATGTGGACTAGGAAGATGGCAGTTGGTTTATATCACTAGATATTTAAAAATGAAAAGAATATATACTGTAACATTGACTTTGGAAACACAAATATTATAGAGTTCTTCCACAAACTCAAAACTTATGCAAGAATTCTCTCTCTCTTCCCCCCCCCTCCAGAAATGCATTATGGGAGACGTGATCGCAGTGAGGATGTACGTAAAGGAGTGATGGGGTCCCTTCGGCCCACTCAAAGGATGCATTGCCAGATGACGGGCTCAGTTCAATGAGCGCAAAAACTAAAGTAAAGGCGTGTCCTGCTCTTTCTATTTATCTTCACTGTGTTGCCAAAATCAAATTTCTGTGCCTCTGCTCTCCAACATGACACATTTGGAATTGTTGTGGTGATTTGAATAAAAATTAATGAAAATGTATCAAAACTGCGTCTCTGTGTTCATTCAATGTTAAGTAAAGGTGTTTTTTTTTAATTTTTTTTTTTTTTTATTAAAGTCCAAATTCAATTATAACATTCTTCAAAGCATTCCAATCATCAGGGCGTGCTGAGGAATGCTGCACAAAAAGTGCTCTAATGGGAACCTAATCTGACATGCCGATTTCCTGACTTTAATGCTTTATTCCCATGCTTGGAGAATATTTCTGTAATCATTCCACATCCACTCACTTTTTCCAGTAACTTTGGCTTGTGCAGTCCTTTCTTGCTTCCTTATTTTGGTCAGAGGACAAGCAAAATGATTCAAACATATTCCCTATTTAAAGGTCACGATGTAAAAGTCAGCCATCCTGATGATGTGTGCTGGCAGGGACTCCTGGCGGAATGTGAACTCTTCTTTAGAAGTATTGAGCGCATCATGCGGAGAGGTCAGTGAGGAAATGTATCTCCTCTTCCATTTTGGGAGGTCAAACATTTCCCGTACTGGCAGGTGTGCGTACATGGAGAAACTAAAAAGCATTATGGGTAATTCCCAGTATTTGGCCACTGGATAAGTGTTTCAGTATGTTGGGTTGGGGGATTGTTTCCCACGACAGGGAAAGTGGGACGATGGCACTGATTGGACCTAATGGCCAAAACAGGTGGAACTCTCGTTTCTTTCTGCTGGGACAGTTGTACCGGCAGTAGTTAAGGAAGGCACACCGTGTTTGTACTTTGGGGAGCGCAAGTGGATGATGTCCCAGTGGACGGCTAGCAAAGGTCACCAGAGTAAAAGTGTTAACGCCTCAAAGACATTTCCCTTCTACACCAGACGAGCCTTTTGGTAACGAACCTGAACCTCTGCGACGTAACACACGGCACAAGTCTCAAACGGTTAAAGGAAGTGCAACATCACAGCTTATGTCGACAATTCATGTGCGTGGTCCTTCCTTAAATGAAATATACAGAGTTCTAACATTGTCATTATTATAGTATATTGTCCTATATAAGGCTGTGTTTTATGAAATTGCAACAAACAAACCGACACACGGAACATCTGGGTCCAGGAAGCGTTCGAGGAGTGTTTGTTTCTGGCTCTTCACATTATATAGTGAAGCTGCTATCTACCGTTGTGTGCACTTCGCTTTGGAACTGGAGTCCAAAGGGTTAATCTAAACATGCCAAAATGGGATTCTGTTTTGCCTTTGTTGGCCATAAGGAAATGTGATCTGTGGTAAAAGACACGGCGATTTAAAAAAAAAAAAAAAAAAGACGATCCTTAGTGTTTGCTGGAGTGGATTATGAATCATCTCACATAGATTTGAATGTGATGTCAACAAGGATATTACTAAAAGAAAACCTTGCTTCTTTCATACATGCTGTGAATGCTCTGCTATCCATTACTAAATTATGTCTGAATTCAATTGAAGAGCTGTTGCTTTTATCTTGTCTGTGTACATTCTGTGTCTGATGCTGGGTATTCTGTATGCACATTATAAAAGCACTCTTAAAAGCATGGTCGTTTTCTCACAGCCAGAGAGAAGAGATCACATCTGCTACGGATTGACTTACAGGTGCAGCGCTTGTGATCCACAGGCGTCGCCATCACTCTGTTTGGATAACTGCGGGGATGAGGCAGATCTCCACCTCCCTGTTTTATCTCCCACATCTTGATTTGATGGACTTCAGTGTTTCCTAATTAATGGAAAGTTGAGCTTTTTTGTAAGTGGATCTCAGTGATACAGCTTTTAGCAATGTTCCACGAGCTGCAGCTTCAACATTTTAATAGACGGCAGTTGGACAGTATAAAAAACATACAACCATAAACATTAACAGTGAGATAATACGCTGTTAGCCAAACAGGATATAAAGGGAGGTATTCCACTGGAGAGGAAAGGTCCGATCTTGACGAAGGCAAACCTCCCATCAGGAAAGTGAAAATTAGGAAACTGTTAAGGAAGGACAATGATAGCTGGAAGCCTGCTGAGAGTTAACTGGCAGAGGTAGACAGCGTGAAACAAAGGGACCGCAGGATAAGCGTCCATTAGGACAGTTCTTTCAAAATCATGTACACGAGAATACACTAAGGAATGTGGCATAAATGTTATCTCGCTAAAAGTAACTCCTCATACAATGTAAGCTGCGGATTTCCCCCCTCATTGCATTTGTCTATACGTTTGTGTGTTTTTGTGTGTGTGTTTGTGAGTGTGTGTGTGAGAGAGCGTGTGTTCTCATGCTTTAAAGACAAAGGTATCTTGTTGACACGGGTTGTTCAAGATTGTCTTGGACTTTAGAAGAATGAAATCACATCCTTTGCAAAACATCTGGAAAGCTCCACTTGTACAGCAGTGCTGACACCCTTCCTTCGCTTGTCCTCTCTCTGCTTGTCCTGAACTTAAACTCTGTCGGGCACATGCACAGATAGACCACGGGGGGGTTGTGACGTTTTGCATGCAGAAAACGATTCTAAAAGTAAGCCAACGTGAAGCTCATAATGCACGTGAATGTGAGGCAATCCTCCCAACATAACAGCCTGTCTAAATGAATACAGGTCTGTGTGTGTGTGTATTATTTTCACATCACATTTCATAATTGATCTGGAAAGTAAACTACTTTTTTTTTCAATTTATTTAGACATGTTCTTTGCATGTAAATAAGATGAATAAAGAGTGCATAAAAAGTATCAAAATAGACAAACACATTTCACGTTTAAGTGGACGAGCTTTCATTCTAATGCAACATACGACATTACTTTTCTTTATGATGCACTTCCAAAATACATTACAAATGTGCTCCAGTAATTACATCTGAGTAGACTTTCTATCATTTCAGTCACGAGTGATTCACTTTTTATTCGTTCATTTGCTGCTGGAGGAACTGCTTGCATGGCCAGGATCTTGCTAAATGCACTCACTCACCCATTCTTCAATTCAGGGATGCTGGGCTTTGGCACGAATCCCTATAAGAGAGAATGATGTGTAGACCACAGCGTCTGGTGCTGTAAATGTTCAGTCACAACAATCTAATCTGTGATGCAGAGAACAGTATTTGGGATTTTCTAACCAGGAAATATAAACAACCAGGAAAGTTAGGAACAAACTCAGGGACATTTTTCCACCTCAGACAGATTAGATTTAAAAGTGAGAGATCATTTCCTTTTCCAGTTGTTTTTCCTGCCTTACATTTGAACTGTATTATACTTGTCAAATACATGCAGGTACATACATGAAATCCAACCCCTGCATTAAACTCATCCTATGCATTAAGGAGCAGTGGGCTGATGTAAAGCAACCGGGGAGCAACTTGGGGTTCAGTGTCTTGCTCAAGGACACCTCAACTTTAACTGCCTGGACAGGCTTTAATGCTTGTTCTCAATGATTTTAACTGTCAAACAATAAATGCCCCAAACAACTCCCCTTTTTCCAGCAACAAATTCTACTTTAAAGTGTTGAGACTGTAACTGAATATGTCAGCATTACAACGATGACACAAAAGAACAGCATGTCTGGACTTCACAACAAACTGATGTCAGCTTTTCTCATTGGGTGTTGAGTCTGAGCCACTTTGGTTTCGGGGAAATTCAAGAACCAAAACATGATTACAGCAAAAATCCCACTCCCACTCTATGTGTTTTTCCGCTTAGGTTTCTGCTGGAGGGTAGGGACAACCCTGAGATCAACCCCCGCCTAGAGACAGCTCACTGAAGTACATACCTCCACATTCACTCAAAATACTGAACACACATCAGTTGTACCTCAATCCGCTCCACAGGACCTATGGCACCTATGCTGACCCAAGGTCAGTCTCCCTGAGAAAGCAAACATCTGGGCAGAACTATGTCAGTTGAGGCCCCACAGGGGCCCATAGGGGAGGCGGGTTGCCATGCAACAAGCTTTCTTGCCACTGAACTTTGCATTCCAGTTACACTTAAGAGCTAACTCTGATTTCATCAACACGTCTACGAATGTTATGCAAGCTGTCTGGCCGCACAGAGGCAAGCTGTACTATTATCTCCCCAAAACACTCAGAGAGACATGTCTGGCATTTCAGGAAGCGACTCTGTTTTGGATCAAAGGTGGCAATGTGGAGTCCTGGATTCAACCAAAACATTTAAAGGATCTTTCTTTGTCACATATCAGTAGTCGATGGGCACAATTAGTCATTTCCACTGCATACAAACATACTTTCTTCTTTAAGACAATCGCAAAAAAATTAAACGGACAAGGAACAACTTTCACTTCTGTTTCCTCTCTGGCCTCACTCACAGAGAGGTCAGAGGTCACAGGCTCAGCTAAAGCCAACTAGCATGAGAAATATTCATGTGTTTTGGGATTTGTTTTGCTTGATATGTGAGACAGATTTAGACGGTTGCTTGATGGATTGAAAAAGTCCTTAATGCATCAACCTCAAAAATTATATTCTAATAAAGCGGGTCTTTTCAAACGAACTAAACGAACGGGTGGAGAAACAGCATGAATTATAACTTCTAAAGGCCTTTCCAACGTATGTGAGGAAATTCAGTTTTGCCTTTGAGGACACCACAAAGAATCATTGTTTTTCAAGTCACCCCACAGGAGTTCCTGTCAAAGCTAAGCTACTACGTCCCTGCTGCGAGTGGTTGTATGGCTCAGAGGAAGGATGGTGGAATTCTTTAAAGTGAGGCTTTACAAACCAGAGCCAACACAATGGCTTCCCCTAGAGAGCACGGCATTCAGAACTCAGCACTCTGCGTATACATGCATGTTTAACCAGCTTGCTTTGCAGTCAGTGTGTCTATGCTTGTGCATCTCTGTTCAACAGCAGATAAATACATGTTTTGCTCAGCAATAAAAAGGCATAAAGTGTTACTTATCTGCTCTGAATCTGCCTTACTTTACCCCAGTGTTGGGCTCATCCACTCCTCCTATAACTACTGTGTGAGAGGACACGTGATCTGTAATCTGGAGGGGGTGATGGTGATGGGGTGAGTGAGGAATGGGGTGCTCTTTGAACACAGTGTGTGTG